TACTAGAGGGCGCTCTGACCAACAAATTGCCATTATCTAAATAAAAAATATATACCAGTTCTTCAATGCTTCAAGGCTTCAGTCAATGTTGTTGTTTTTTTCACTACCTACCCATCTCCTCGTCTGGCACTATGTAGCTGGTGTGGTATATTTATCACAGACAGTAGTACATTTGTCACATTTAGTGCTTCAAAAAATATTCCATGACCATGAGTATTTATATAAATAGATGCAGTTTCTTTGGTTTGAATAACATTCACTGGCTTTGTACATACAGGTATATTGGTTTACCTGTTTCTAGTTTAAATTTAGCCAATCTTATTACCCAAGACAGTTGGACAATTGCCACATGTGCTAACACTCGTTTGCAAGTGCCACAGCTTGAAACAAGTAGTCAAATCTGATATTGGCTGGAGCTTTTGTTCATATGGGAATGGACATGGTGAACGGCAAACTAGATGGTCAGAAAGTAATAAAAATAATCACAGGTTTACTCCACCCACCCCACTATGAAGTAAATGGCTGTTTATAAGGCCATTTATGATGGTTTCATGTTTATTATGAAAAATAATTTTAATTATAAACTTCTATGCTCCTGCACCCAATCGTGGGGATCAATAATACTAAATGTCACTATTACTAGTGCTCAATACAAAGTATATGTAGAGCGGGTGAATACGGTGATAGAGGAATTAATACACAACTACATGAATATTGAAACTCGACAGCACTGTTTCGTAAGGTACAAGTATATATATATTTGAAATTAAAAAAAATATTTAGACTATAGCCCCACGTGAAAACACTGACGGAGGTTTGTAATTTGTCAATAAAACGTAATCACATCGCACGTGCTGCTTCATTTGCATATTTGTGTTAATGTTGAACTTTTCAGATAACACTACTGGTGAAATAGAACACAGTCCTTGTTACTTAGCTGGAGGCTGCTGCAGACCATTATACTGTGAAGGAAGGGAAGAACAAATATCGGAACCTTGTTTTCAAAATGAAACACTGCCCGGACTACCGGAATGCCTGTGCTGCAAAAGTAAGTTAGGCAATTTACTACCTGAAGATTGATGGTCTTCGTGCCGCAATGTGTCGATACAGTCAGGGTTATTAACGAATCAGCAAATTCGTGATGAATGTCAGTAGTGAAAACTAACCTCTTTCACGACTGGAATCCGCGAAATCAAGGTCAAAGTGTTGATCCATTGGTCAATTATTGACCTATTAATCCTCGATGTACAAACTTAACTGATACAGCCTGAACGAGCTACTTCCTAGAAGAAACAGTTCACGTAAATGGGACTCGTGCTAAAAAAACAGACAAAACAGAAAATAACTGACTGAATAAAATCGTAAAAATATTATTTATATTAAATAATATTGAATATTATCGATAAAGGCGGAAATGCATATGGGATCCTCATTTTGACACTTTTGACCATAAATCCTTCCAGTTTGATGGTCACTGTTCCTATTTCTTGTCAAAAGAATGAAAGAAACCACTACACATTCCTCGTATTGCTATCGTGCGACAGCGACCGACAAAATTCAGTAGTAGTAAATATTTAATTTATTTATAAACTAATTTTTAATAATGATTTTTGCAGCAAAGAATGGTGGAGGAAATGGATACGGAGATCCTCATTTTGAAACACTTGACCACAAATCCTTCCAGTTTGATGGTCACTGTTCCTATATCTTGTTGAGAGAATGTAAGAAACCACTGCATACTCCGCGTTTTACTATCATCAATAAACATGGATTGATGGAAAGCCTCAAAGGAAAATTAAAGGCGTATGTTTCTAAAATTTCTGTTGTCATACAATTATCATCAAAAAAACAATTCAGAACGGAACTTTTGGAATCAAAATACGTTTTGGTAAGTA